ATTGCTCTGCGGATCCTCGGGTTAATGTAAGAGTTAACCCGGTGCTTGCCTTTCCCAGCGAGGTGTCTTCCTGTCCCGGAGCGGCGTGGCTCTCCAGCTCTGGACCCTTTCCGTCCCCCTGTTGGGTGCTTACCCACACGGTGTGCGATCATCCCGCCACCCTCTCCGTGCTCTCCACCGCTGCCTTGCCCCGGTGTCCAAACCGGGGCATTTGGGTTCAAACCCATCGGCAGCTGTCTCCAAGTTGGCTTATCACGACCTACCTCGATCTCGTGACCGCGGTAACTCCCGACCGCCAAACTCAGGATCCTCTCCTACACGGTGCTAGGGACCGTATATCCGTCGTTGTTGGGTGGTTTTTTCGAGGGTTAACTGCACTTGCGGGCCTCGGCCTCCCCCGGGGAGGGGAGGAGGGGGGAGGCGGAGAGAGTATTCTTATGCAGCCAGATTCTTCAGTTTTTTGGGTCGACAAAATCTGGGTTCAGCTTTTTGGTTGGCCGCCACCCAAAAAGTTGGGAAGAAATCAGTATGGTGCCCACCCAGATATCTCATCCCCCAAAGTTCACCGCTGGGTGAACCCAGACGACATAATAATCGTCGAGTGCGACCTGAGTTCTTGACGTATCGCTCCCACCAACGGCTGCCAGCAACCCTACGCCGAAGGGCTTGCTATTCTGCAAGCTGGCTGTTGATGGTCGCTCGGCACGCATGCGTAAAAAAAACATATCGCATCGCACCCAGCATGGGAGACGCCGAAACAGGCCAAACCGCCACGAGACAGCAAAAAAAAACGCTTTTTGTCAGAGAGGGGAGGACACCGCAATTGATTTCTCGCTCCCAAGGCCACCGATCGAAGCCAGACCGGTCAGGGCGTGCGCTCTGTTCCTTGCTCTCTGCCGGAGTAGAGTTGCTCAGCAGTTCGTTAATCCAATCATTCGAAATCGTCGTCTGGGTGTACACAAGCTGTCTGTTGAAAAATGTTTCCAGGCCCTCAACACCTTGCTCTATTCTCAAGTGAAGCAAACCAGAACAAAATCACAGTTCGGAAAAGCAACAGGCACCACGCGCATGCTTCTCTCCGTCGATCGAGAGTACGCGCTACCGAGAAAATTTACTCCGTCCGGCAGAGAGCAAGGAACAGAGAGCACGCCCTGACCGGTCTGGCTTCGATCGATGGCCTTGGGAGCGAGAAACCAGTTGCGTTGTCCTCTCCTCTCTGACAAAAAGCTGTTCGTTTTGCTGTCTCGTGACAATATGGCCTGTTTCGGCGTCTCCCATGCTTTGTGCGTGCGACATGTTTTTCTTACGCACGCGTGCCGAGTGACCATCAACAGCCAGCGTGCAGAACAGCAAGCCCTTCGGCGTAGGGTTGCTGGGAGCCCTTGATGGGAGCGATACGTCAAGAACTCAGGTCGCACTCGCCGATTATGTCGTCTGGGTTGATCTGCACCCAACCCCCCAGAATCTGCCTCAGGAATCCGGCTCACTGTGAGAACGGTCGGACTCTTTTCCAGCCGGATTTTTGCCCATCCTGACAAGTGAGGTTTGTTGGGAAAGGAATCCAGGTGCATAAGAAACCGCCTTAGTTGGCCGAAAGGTAGGAAGAGAAAAAGGAGAAAGAAGAAAGGTCCGACCTATGGCAACTTTACTATCCTGTTGGACAATGGTCCAATGTACCATACTTCTACGGTTCAATGCATAACAGCCATGTTTGTTGTCGTAGGTGTGTACAATGATCCAGCTGGGAGGCCAAGAGCCTACGAGTAAATCCTTTGTTAGACAAAGACTTAGACTATCCAGTATGCTAGTGGATAAGTCTTTATCTAACAAAAGATATTTCCCCTTCAGACCAGTCAACGTTGATTGTTCTAAGGAAAGTGTAACTTTGTCGAACACTACGTACTGTTGTTTACAGCAAATACCAATGACTGGCATTGAGTATTCCAACAAAACCTGGATCACCCAGACGATGCTGGGAAATATGTTTACCTTGGGCTGGCCCATTCGAGTACACTTACTACCTTTATTGAACATCGGCACGTTTGGTTGTCGGTGAAACTGGGCAACTCTCCAAGCGGTCCGGGGACCACAAATACGTACGTTCATAGTCGAAAACGGAAGGACCGGTCGAATTCACCAAGCATCAGGTACTGGCCACGTACGTCCCCTATTACACGGAGCGTTTACTACAGATCTGTGCAGGCGGTGTATTCTCGAATGCCTATTTCAGAAACGTAGCAGCAGCTCATCCATCGGGACCCCAAGAGCCGGCCACGGCTGCAGACCCGACAACGGCAGCGGCGACGGTGTGGCGGGCGGAGATACCTGAAGCTCCGGACAAAGTTGAGTTGTCGTGGTCGGTGCCGCACGCGTCCGTACTAACGGAACAACAGAACAGTCGACCAAACCCACCAGGCAGTCTAGTTAGTGAGTCGGTCGGAAGGTACAGTCTATTGTGAGT